GGCGCTCTGCCATTCGGAGGTCCACCAGGAGGCCGCTGCTGGACAGGTTGGGATGAGATGTCGATTCCGGCCATCTTGTTCAGAATCGCATTTTCAGCATCTAGGTCCGTCTTACGGCCTTGTCCTGGAAATGACGGGAAAGCGCCACCACTGAATCCCTGGGCGCCAGGAGGACTGATCGGCGCGTGTTCTCGAGGACGGTTTGCTAGGAATGGTTAGTATACAAGGGCACGAATGGCACGCATGCAACTCACCAGCTGGATCTGAATTGGCCGATCGCTCATACGGAGCGGGACGGCCACCCCGGCCCATGGGGAAACCTCCTCGGCCTGGGGGACCGCCACCGCCACGAGGCGGGTATCCGCCGCGAGTGCCATCTGCGGTCGGAGGACGTGCAATAGGACCACCTCTTCCCGTTTGAGGCGGTCGCCCTCCTCTTGGCGGGCCATTGGGCCCTGGGCCGCCACCATAGTAATCCTGCGGCGGGTAGCCTTGATTCGGCGGCGGACCTCTGCCGTAGTTGGGGTCCTGGTATTGACCGCCATAGTTTTGGTCGTAGCCGCCGTCATCATAGTAGTCGTAGCCATATCCGTCCTGCTGGTAGTTGTCATACTGCTGAGGAGGACCCCGCTGCGCTGGGCCGGGGCCGGGTCCAGGACGAGGCGCGGGAGGGCCACCGCCATAAGGACGCTGACCCGGATATCCTGCCATCGTCTGCTATGCCACCACTTCTCGTGTCGGAATCGTGTCGTGGACTTTTCGATTTCAGTGGCGCAATGTGCGGGTTTCGGTCGAGTGTGTTTTTGGGGTGTATGTTGGGGTAAAAAGATGGGTGGTTCGAGGTCGGAAAAGTGTTGGTTTCGGTAACAGCTCCTAGGCGGCCCGGGATCGCATAAGGTTACCGTAAAGGAGAAAATTAGATGTAGCTCCACAGCTTTGTGGAATTGGACAGACTACAACAGGCGCATAGCTGACGTTGACGAGAAGGCCAAGGGTTGGCGGGGGTTGTTGTGGTCTTGTAGGCTGGGATTCCGCACGTTTCGGCTCAATGTTGATCGACAGTTTCGGCGGGCCAGGCTATGCGCGAGAGCGGACGATTCGAGTTGGTATCCGGGACGAGAGAATAGTCCACTGCAATTTCGAGGGGTTCGGTGCGCGCAGGACGGAGTGAGCCGAATTTCAAGGGGAGTAGTAACCGATGGAGAGAGAGGGACAAAGGGAAAAGGAGAGAATAAGAAATGAAGTAGAGCCGCGCGTTGGGCAATGCCGGGTAGTAGGTTCAATAGAGCAGCCGTTAAGGGGAGATCGCAGGTGTTTCCAGAACACGGCGTCTATTGGTGGCAGTTGACGGAGGGCAGCAGTGGGGATGCAAATAGAAGTTGATGTTGGAGGGGTGGATGAGGTTGGGCCGAGCTCTCTCTTGTGTGGGCAGTTTGTGTATTATTATGGCCGTGCCGTTCAAGGTTGAGCAACTCAGGTTGCTTAAGGAGAGGGAGTTGAGTGGGAGGAGGGTACGGATATTCGTAAAGGGTAGGGTAAGAGATAGAGAGCGAGGAAGAGGTCTAGCTCATGCACGCGTCCACAAGTCCACACACCGAAGGAACGACGTGTGTGCGGTGCGGTAGGTATTCGTACGGGTGTGTGGATTGGGACTGGGACACGGGAGGGAATTTGCTGGTGGAAGAGAAGAAGAGCAAAGCACCTCAGGAGACGCTGTCGGATGCGGTGCAACGCGCAGATGAATTAAGACAAGACGGAAGACTGGGGGAAGAAGGATTTTGACTGGACTGGGCGGGATGCGTGGACGGGATTGGGTTGTTGGACGAGCGCCCGGGGGGAACGGGTACCTCGATTCGCGCATGTAAGGCACGGGGCGAAAAGGTACCTTTCCTTTTCGCAGAGAGATGGATTGTGGAGGGTGGAAAGCATTGGAGCATCGGGGAGGTGGTGTCTCGCTTTCCCAGGGTCCCCGGTTACGGGGCGTTCCTGCGGCGGTTGTCATGGAAGGCAAGTGCTCCCATGGCCATGTACCCTTTGTACCTTTCTTCTACCTCTCGTTCGCACCACCTCACATCACAATCAAGTCCGTGGAATACAACTGCGTGGTGTCTACCTGCCTACATTACTTGAACTCGTTAATTGAGTTGGATTAGGTATCTTAGCAGCGTTGGCAACATACACACTAAGATACGGCAATTCAGGACTGCTGTCTGCGTCTTGTTTGTTGCAGAAAAAGGAACAAATTAAGGTCCCTGAGCAACAGCGACAAAATGACGACAGCGTGTTTGAGAAGGCGCCTGTCGGGGCCGTGTCCTTCCGTCTGTCCATGTCGCTCCTGCTTCCCTATCATACCTTTCTCCAAGGTACCTGATCTCACATTAAGGTAGGTACCGAACAAGTCATGATATGCCACCCGGACGTGCTCTGTAATCGATATCCCCGGTATCAACGCGTTGCTCAAAGTCTGTAGATGATAGAAGCGACAGCTATCGAACGGCGTCGATGATTGTCGTTTTCTGTCATCACTGTCCTCATGGTCACAAGGATCCGTACCTTTTGGCCTGTCAAGATGGTTTCAATACCAGAGACGAAGCTCATCCACTCAATACGACGCTACTTCGGTACTTGCGCTACTAAGGCAAGTAATAAAGTACCTCACTAAGGCAAGGTACGGAAGCAGCGTTCGCACTGCCGCTGCTAGCTTAAGGTTACTCTTACGGAGAACTTTGAGTGACTTTGCAGAGGGGGGAAGGGGCTACAGCCTATCAGTACTGTACTGTATGTACATCAGAACTTCAGGCGCATTGAATGAAGCGGGATCCAACAGAAGCACCGCCTTCAATTTGCGCCAGCCTGCTCGTTACATTTACAACAACATTAATCTTTTCATCTGGGTCTTATACTCTTATTTCTCTGGGGCCTCCCGTGACCCGCCCATCAGCTTACAGACCGGATAGATTACATAGGTACTGCACCTTGAGAGAGAGGATATCCCGGATCAGTTGGGCAACCATGCCTGAACCGCCGCCGGCCCCACGACAATTTGCATATCTCTCGCTTTTCTACCCTCTCGCCCTCAGCGAAGTATACCATTACCCTGGACAGCCGCAGCACGAAGCCCTCACAGGAAAGGTTCATCCGAGCGCTGCAACGAGGGTCTTCCCAGCATCGGGGCGTGGAACTGAGGTCATGGCCACGGTAAGGTACCGCACCTCACTGGCATGACTGGGCCCATTCGTAGGTACCTACCGTTAGGTACTCCGAGTGGATGGGTCCATTGACTCCATGCTTCCCAGCCTTTGCATTCCACAACCCATTTCCCCTCCACACTCATTCATTCGCTTTGCGAATAGAAAAGAAAAAGACGTCAGTCCAGCAACCATCAATGGAATGTCACAGTTGTCTTCAACGAATGATTTGCGACTACCATGCCGTTTCCGTCTTCGTCGTCACGAAGCAGATAGAATCAGAGACATTCCAACCTCAATTAGGTGCCTCTATAGCAACACCCCCAAAAAGCTTCATCTGACAACCTCTTCCTTTTTGATCTTTCCAGTACGGAAACCTATCCTATCAGCCACCGCAAGCGATGCAATCTTGTGCCCTAAGAAAAACGACGCTGATCAGGCATGTCGCCTGCTCTCACTTGACTGCCTGACCCGGGTCGCACAATGTGCCTTATTAAGAAGCAGGGATCAATCACAAACCCCCTAAGACCCGTTGAATGAGCATTGCTGCAATGCATTCTGGCTCCGCGTCTCTCTCTCTCTTGAGGTACACACGACAAGAGCGCTGTATCAGAAACTCCCCAGTGGCAAACCTCATTGGCCTGACGCCCCTTTTGAGTCTGCTGTTCCCATGGAGTCTGCCTTATGGGGATCCAGTATTATCACCCTTCTGCAGTCAGCCGTGAGCATCAGGGGCCCGGCTGTTACTCGGCTCCTGCTCACCTCTTCTCAAAACACGAAGAAATTTATCAGGAGAGTAGGAGAAGAACCCTATCCCCAAGTATCCAGAACCGAAAAAGCAAGGGTGCGGAAACAGTCCAGGCTCCTGTCCTGTTGAACCCCGTTTTCCGGTGTGTCTGGTGTTCTGGTGCACCGACAGGACCCTCAGCGAGACGAGGGGCAATTAGGTTCGTAAAGTCTCTGTGCGCCGAGCCTGTCCGCGACATTTCGTCTCATCTCTCTTGCTTCCCGTCGACTCCCGTCCTGTTGCCCGGAGCGCGGGTGCTGGTATACCGTACTGAACTGGTGCCGGTGAACGGTTGTGGGATTCAATGACAGCATTGCCTGTTTATGCAACCACCCCGAGGCAGCGCAGCTAGTCCCTACTTTTCGTTGCGGCATTCCTTCTTACTTGGGAATGCATCATCTAGCGGGGAAATCACTTAGCAAGAACTCAAGAGCAATGACCGGATGACCTGGTGACGAAGTCTCTACAGTCTTGCTATTCGTCGACAGTATATCAGCCTCTCTGATCACGCTCGGGAGGCCTCTACCCTATCGTATTGCTTTACGACGTTCGCCTTCGTCGCCTCCACTTCTCGACCACATCTAGTGTGGAAACGACCAAGGTCGAATAGGAAGGCCGTTCGGCCCGGTCAACGTACGGCCAAGCGGCCAAGCATGCGGTGAGGTGGGTTAGGCATTTCGTCAGCTTCCGTCCCGTTCGGAGTAGAGCGTTTTCTTTCCCGTCTCGAAGGAAGGGCTGAGCGGCCAAGACCGGCGTTTCCATGTGAGGTGGGGTTGATGGCTTGAATCCTCAACGGTCAAATCACGATGCATAGGAAGCCCTCAGAGGCGTGGAAGACACTATGCCCCTGGAGGCGGAGACCTTTTGATGCCTTTTCGCCACAACGACAGAGAGTAGACAAATCGTGACTGACATCGAAGGGCGGCTGCGCCGTCGTCGCCAGTTACTACTGAAGGCTTGGCCGGCACATGGGCTTCTGATGCACCGTAGGTGGCCTCCCTTTCTGGGGGATATCCCGCCGTAACTCACGAGGGTCGGTGCTCGATTTCGTCCTGTCATTGGGGAGGGGAGCACGGGAAGCGTTTTCTTGCGTTCCTGCATGTCGATCTGGAGCGTTGCTTGTCTCCAAATGGGTTGTGGCATCATCCAACCACAAACGTTTTGTTCGATGTTGGTGACAGTGAGCACAGCCCCCTCGGACATGTGGTCTTCCGCCTGCGCCACGAGGTTGCAGAGATGTGCTGGGAAGATGAGAACTGGTCTGTGGGTTTGGACGATCATGGGAAGTTGATGGTGTAGGGCGCCACACTTTCGAACGGACTTGAGCCCGAGTCTTGTTCGCATTGGTGCGTGAACTTTCAGTCTAAGAATATGCGGATGAAAGCTGATGTCCCACGGGAAGCAGTAGCCACACCATCTCAAGAGAGCGCATGGACCACCGTAAGTCATCGAGTCCAAGCTTACCTAAGGGTGCACGAGATGGCAGCTTCCGACCGCCTTCCAAATTGGGTCTCTGCTGGGAGATCTCCAATCAAGCGCGTCAGGTTCGTCATCGATTGTGAGAGGGCTGCCTCTGTGTCGCAAAGCCCCAAACTCAAGCCTCCATTGCCAGAGCTTCGCCAAATCGTCACAGCCCACCTGCTATCGCACCGCATCGCACAAACTCAATCACCATGGCGACAAAGAAGGCTACGAATTGGAAGTTGTGGGGAAAGATGCTGCTTGGGTACGTTGAGACTCTTCAAGGTCTGCAGGGAATGACGAACTGACAGATGGGCACAGTGGTGGAATCTTTTGCGTGGGCGGCCCGGCCTTCACCATGTGGGTGTCGCCGACGGAAGAGGAGCTCTTCAAGAGATACAACCCCGAGCTACAGGCCAGGAGTCTTGCGAACCGCGAAAAGACGCAGGAGGAGTTTGACCAGTTTGTTACGAAGCTGAAGGAATACTCCAAGTCGAACAAGCCGAGTACGCCAGTCATATCGTGGAATTATGGTTCAGCATAGAGCTAACACAGTCAACAGTCTGGACGGTGCGAGACGAAGATATTGAGAGACAAAAGCAGGCACGCGTGAATGAACAGAGGAGGAGAGAGGCAGATCTCAAGGCACAGCAAGCGGCGATGCGCAAGGAGTCGGGAATGTCGGATGACTTGGACTGATATCCCGCCGCTCTGCGACGGACTGTACTATATCAACGTGGTCTCGGAGGGTCTGGGATTATGCCATGTTTGGCTGTATAACAACGAAAGATACCATGCTGAACTCTGAGGGTTGCTTTCAGGCGTTTGAGGGCTCAAAGATATTTGGATGAAATTGACAGACTACGCGGCAGTAGTGTTGCGTTCTTGGCATGGCCGGATTGATATCGGCCTATTGATGGAGATATGATAGCATGCATCGTGCCAGGAGACATTGATTGTCAGTGACGCAGAGAATTAACCTCGTTCAACACCGCTCGAGAAGGCAGGCCGAAAAGCTCGTCACTCAGCTGGCCCCACCTCATTCGGTGAACTTTCGGTGAGGTCCAGAAAAGGAACGTACCTCGGCACAATACTATTTCCGCAAGCGAAGGGAATTCTTGGCACGCACAAAACCTCCTTCATTGCATCACCCTCATCATGCAAAGTTGACAGAGCCGGCTTCAGCCTTGTGGTAGATAATTCAACGTGTGACAAACAATAGACGAATCATGGTGAGTAGTTTGCCCACCTCAGTGAAATTTACTTCCCTCGGGCGCTGCACACACGGGTCGGGAAGGGAAAGGAAAGAGGGCGGGGTGGGAATATGCGTGTGGTCGTAGCTCCCGTCCTCGCCTGAGGGGGGTCGGCCGGCCGCTGCCCGCCCGGGTTTTTCCCACCTCCATACCACACATTTTTGCTAATTGCCCTGAGGACGACCGCACAGCACCAGCTTGCTTCCCTTTCCCCCACCCGCAAAACCACCACGCCAAACCGTCCCTCTCCCTCCCCAAACTCGTCAATTTTCGAGCCAATCTGCCCACCATGTCGGACGTCCAGGAACGCCTCAAGAAGCTCGGCGCCTCCGCGCGTATCGGTATGTCTGCGTCAATGTCTTTTGTCTCTATGCTGTCGTAATGCTGTCGGTTTTGAAATTGGTAGCTAATATACGCGATGCGCAGGGTATGTGTGAACCTCCGAAAATTGACCCCTCATTTTTTCCCTACACCCTTTCCCTCACCGAGAACACCGCGAAATATCCAGAAAAAAAGACAAAATTGCCTACAAACACAACTCTCGAACCCGCTCATTCGCGGAATGTTTACAAGGAGGAAATGATGACTAACGTATCGATGCTTCGCCCGACGATAGCGGCAAGGGCACTCCCCGCCGCAAGATGAAGCGTGCGCCCGCGCGCTCCGCCGCCGACGACAAGAAGCTCCAGGCTGCCCTGAAGAAGCTCAACGTCCAGCCCATCCAGGCCATTGAGGAGGTCAACATGTTCAAGTCTGACGGCAACGTCATCCACTTTGCTGCTCCCAAGGGTAAATGACCACCAAGCTATCACCATCACACCGTTCACGTCCTCTTTTCCCATGCACCTCTGTTCCTCCACCAGAGGATAGCTCTTCTACCCCCCCATTCCTCTCTCATCGCACGAAGAAGTACCTAGACGTATACTAAAGATGAAACTCTTCCAGTCCACGCTGCCGTCCCCGCCAACACCTTCGCCATCTACGGCAACGGTGAGGACAAGGAGCTCACCGAGCTCGTCCCCGGCATCCTCAACCAGCTCGGCCCCGACTCCCTCGCCTCGCTCCGCAAGCTCGCCGAGAGCTACCAGAACATGCAGAAGGAGGGCAAGGACGGTGAGGAGGACGACATTCCCGACCTGGTCGAGGGTGAGAACTTTGAGAGCAAGGTCGAGTAAGCGGCGAAATACTTCACAACAGAGGATGAAAGATTTGCCGAAAAAAGATCAATAAATGAAAAAAAGCTCCCAAACCAAACGGTGCCACCCCTCTGCGACTACCTTTATACTTTTTGTCATGGGAGTTCGAGGGAGAAGAGAGATACTTTTTTTGATCGAAACCGTCCTTGGGTTCCGTGGATTGCCTATCATCTATGAACGAGCGTGTGGGTTTTAAGGAATGGGAAAAATTAACGAGATACAAACTTGACTTCCAACGCAAAAATCGATCGATACGAATACGCTCCCAATTTGTTTCCCGGCGGTTGAAATTGTGTGCGTCGTTGTCGATGTGAGACGGCGAGAGGAAGTCAGGCTCCTGGGAGACGCCGAAGACTCACCGTTCATGTCCAGACTGCGCAGTATTGTGGTCTCGACAAGGTCAACAATCTAGACTCACAGCGTGATGAGATGGTGAGTCGATGAAGATGCTAAGAGTGATACAAAATGATTTTCCAATTGCGCCGCACTCGTGTCTTTTAGCATCCATACCACCGTGACGAATTCCATCCTACAACCTCGCAAACTCCTCATCCCCAACATTGACAACCCACCCCGCCAACGCAACCCTCCTCGCAGCCTCCTTGACCTCCCTCCGATGAACAAGCATCTCCCCGCCCTTGACCTTGCCATACGCATCAACATCCAACGCCCGCCGCAGCAACCCCCCAACCTCATCGTCGTCACCACCTTCCGTGGCCACCCGCTCCGCCACCGCCGCCGCGAGCTCCCACATCCTCCGCCTGGAAACCAAGCTCGCGCCCCGGACATCAAATGCCTTCCGCCCCTGCAGCACGCCGCCCATCGTCCCCTCATCAACACCACCACCGCGTGTCCAGGCAGCAGCGAGGTTACTCGCCGCAATCTTATCCGCCCCAGCCCTCCTCCTAACCATCCGTTTCGAGAACTCAAATTCTCTAGACGTGGTCCGCACCTCGAACGGCGAGAACCGGTATCCACCCTTCCAACGCGCCGCTTCATCCACTACGGCCTTCATCCGTCCGCTTGCCGAGAAGGCGCGCTCGCAGCCTGTAGCGGAGTACTCTGATTCCGGGAGGATAACGGACGAGACGTAGGCGTTGCCTGGGTGGATCAGCAGGGATGCCAGCGAGGCGAGGAGGGAGTTGCACTGTTTGAGCGCGAGCTTGTCGGAGCAGGATTTCGAGGTGGTCGGCGGCGCGTCGCCGCGGGCTGGTTTGCGGCGGACGATGCCTAGGTGGGAGAAGTAGGCTCTTCCTGGGAGGGGGGTTGTGTCTGTTGTTGTCTGGGGAGGTGGCGTAGTAGTCGTGCCGGATGGAGAGGCTGAGGACGGAGGCAGTTCCCAGGGTGAAGCATCTTCTTGGGCGGCCATGGTGAGTTCCATGCTTGCATCGCCGCAGGGGGCTTCGGAGCAGTACATGTGTAGGGTGACGTCGTCTCTGATTGCGAAGGGTTGGGGTGAGGAGGGGGAGATGGCGGAGGGTGGGCGTCTTGTAATGATATCTGAGGTTGGCGAGCTGCCCTGCGAGTGGGTGTCGCATTCGTCCAGGAGATAGCGGTTGAAGGCGCGGATGGCGAGGACTTCGGCATGCCAGTCGTGGAGGGCGTTTCCTTTTGCCAGGGGGAGTTTGCTGGCTGGGAGACACTTCATGCCCGTTCTGTGGTAGGTGTTAGTCAAGTGGTCATTGATGACATTTATGAGATCATGATGTCTGATATTGCTACGTATCGTGGAAGCTACGAGGAGTATTGTCCATATAGAACATCGTGAACTAAGAAAGATGAGATCCAGAGTCTGAAGTATGATGTGCCACATGAATCAACTACAAGTTGTACGACCCGAGATCATCCACACGATAACATACACATGGCCATCTTACTTACGCGAGTGAGAGACAAGTTAAGACGCCATCTTTTTCGGCAACAATGCCGCTCAGGGGAACCCATTCATGTAGGCCATTGTCTCTGACCTGGGGCCTGCGTTTTGTAGGTAGCTTCTTGAACCGCCCTAGGACAACATCTGCGATCTCATCGGGGTCGGCTGGCATTTTCAGCGGCCGTGATGTTCTCATAAGCGGTTTCGTCACCTTAAGCCAACTTTTCATCACCGGTATCCGTTCGAGATTTTCTCTCAAGCAAGAACCTGTGTCGTTGGTGCACATCTCGACTTGAAGTTGAGAGTGGGGCTTCTGGACCAGGCAAGCCACAAATCCACTGCACTCTACTTAATATGTGGCGCAGTCCGAGTCGACCACCTCAATATCGGTAATGGCTATCTCCACGTGACGCATGCACCACCAAGCAGACCCACTCTTTCGTCCCGTCCGCGTAGGGTTGACGCCCACTAGGCTATTCTACCCTCCCACGACGAATTTCCGAACCAGAGTCGAAAATTGTAGAATCTCGCGAAGAGTGCCAGCCTGGTCTTACCCTCCCCTTCCCGAACCCTTTGACCTCATCGACAAGTCAGCCAACGTTCGCATTCAATACCGCCAATGTACGTTCAATAGATTCCCCCCTCGTCCGGTCGACCCTCGATTTTTTTCCTTCCGACTGCTGGCCTAGCGATTACTCAACAAAACCGCAACGTCACCATTTCCGCAAGACAGCCGCTTTCCACGAACAACTTCGCTGGGCCAGACGAGGAGAAGGAATTGAGGGTCGATTACAGGAGGATCTTCCGAAAATTTACGAGGAATTGTTTTCTGACTGATTATTCAAGATGCGCACGTACGACGACACGTTCTCCGGACAGAGAATCTACCCTGGAAAGGTACGATGATGACAACGCCACCCATCCTTCCCTATATCTCCGATATCATCTTTCCCCCCAGTCGATCGAAGGAACCTGTTGAAAGCATGGCTGGGCAGTCAGGGAGCTCAACCCCAGATGGAAGAGATGGGACATGAGGGGCAACGACTTGGATGAACGAGCAAGCCATGGGGCGACGATTGATCGACGGGGAAAGGAAAGATGATTGCAAGGAGACGACTTCACGGAGGAGGCAAAGACATGACACTCTCCATGGGAACAAGACGCTGACGAGACTCTGACTACAGGGTAAGCTCTACGTCCGCGGTGACTCCAAGATCTTCCGTTTCCAGAACGGAAAGTCCGAGTCCCTCTTCCTCCAGCGCAAGAACCCCCGCCGCATTGCCTGGACCGTCCTGTACCGTCGCCAGCACCGCAAGGGTATCTCTGAGGTGAGTGCCAAACCGTCGCGACGCTGCCGCATGGTCACGTTCGAGATGTAATATCTCGAACCCCTTCACGCGTCGCGAACCTCGACCTTGGAGAAAACACATGACTGACCCCCACAACAGGAGGTCGCCAAGAAGCGCACCCGCCGCACCGTCAAGGCCCAGCGTGCCATCGTCGGTGCCTCCCTCGATGTGATCAAGGAGAAGCGCTCCATGCGCCCCGAGGCCCGCTCCGCCGCCCGCGCCGCCGCCATCAAGGAGTCCAAGGACAAGAAGAACGCCGACGCCGCCGCCAAGAAGGCCGAGAAGGCCAAGACCGCCGCCGCCGGTGGCAAGAAGGGCCCCATCGCCTCCAAGCAGGGCTCCAAGGGCGCCGCCCCCAAGGTCCAGGCCCGTACCCGTTAAACAGCTTTTTTTTTTCTAGTCTCTCGTTGAGGATTGGGGAAAAGAATTTGGGTTTGCGTGATGGGTTTTTCTTCTCTTGACATGATGAAATAAAAAAAGAGTAAAAACATTTCTCTGTCGAGACGGCGTGAGGCTGGTGTGACATGCGGGAAGCAAAGAACAGAAACGGCCACCGACCAATCCCGGCCGAGGGTTAGGATTTTTTTCTTTCAACCCTCCGGCTGGTGAGGGGGGAGACCGTTTTTAGAGAAGGAACGAACGCTTCTGACAACAAACGAATTGGTGAAAGGCACAATACGACCAGGTTCAAAAAAAAACTTGATTGGAGTCGAGGGTTCATTGTGCTTTGAAACGGGGACTTTTGGGGTTCTATAACTACACAATCTCACGGGTAGCACGGAATTTGCATGGAATTGTCCCAACGGGGGATTCTTACCAACGTTTTTGATCCTCGAATCCCGTACTTTGGTGACTAGTCTTTTTGTGTTTTGTACCATTTCAATGGTGACGTGATTCTTGGAGGTTGACATGCGAGGGAGACAGTCGCCGAGATCTTGGAGGCGGATGTACTGCAATAGATCCCGGGACTCATCCACGAGCTCAACCCTTCCCGTTCCCTTTCCTGCGTCGTTCCCAGAGCGAAGCTACGAGCCGAAGAAGCATCAAACAAAATGCGCTTCGTAGTGGCTGTCACATCATGTATTCCCCTCAACGGAAGTAGAGGGACAGTAGAACTCCTTTGATCCCCCGGCTTCCCGCGCTCGGAATGAGGACTGAAGCTTACTCCACACGATCAACGTTTACAAAGCTCAAAATCCCTTCTCCCATCTTACAGTGACATGCGGGGGAGAGGGTATTTTCAGAATTTGCCGTGCCATCACCAGAACTCGCCCTGCTCGATAAACCGTTTCACACGAAAGGCCGTGAAGAAAACAGCAAATGAGGCGGGAAAAGAAACCACATCTCTCATTGTACAAGACGGCCATCGACAGACATCCATACCCTCGTCCTCACTCTAGCACATCAAGCCCGCTGGTTAAACTCCAAGTAAACATCATACTCTAGCCTTTCTCTCCAAGAACATATCAAACACACACCTCTGGACATCCATCATCTTTTCGGGTCACGACACCCCAAGTTTATCCGCATCATGCCTACTATGGAAACGAGCCGCACATATAACATACATCTGCGTAATAGAGCTTACCCGGTGCAAGTATCCATCAACACCATGACCTGCGTCGGGGGAAAGACAACCATCCCCTCCTCCTGTGGTTCCTCCCCCCCCCCCCGTCCGTCTCTCTTCGCGGCAATATCGCATCTCCGAGCCCCGCTACCGAGACGAAGTCCGTCTGCTCTACTAGCTCTACCGAAGCATCTAACAGCTCACGTTCCAGTCATCAGATCAAGTATTTCAGGCTAGGCAGAAACATGGCCAGGTCTCATGAACCATTCAGTTTTTGTCTCTATTCTATAAGCGGAAGAAAGTGGTTTCGTGATCCGAAAACCGCCCCAATCTTCGTCTAACGAAAGTTCAAAAATTCTAATATGAGCTTTTGTTCTAAACGCGCGTCGGAAAAAGGTTTCCCTTTCTTTCCCCTCTTTCGTCTATAAAAGAGACCATGTCTTGGGCATTTCTCATCGTGTTAAAAAAAAGGAACCCGCCCAACGCAAAAATCATTAAATCTTCAAGTGGCACAAGGTACCAACTCTTTACAGAGCCTTGAGAACGGGCTCGGCGCCAGAGACCTCGAGACCCTGGAGCTCAGTCTCCTTCTCGGCGTAGACGACCTTGCCGTGGTCGATGACGATGGCGTAGCGGGCGGTGCGCTCGCCGTGGTTCCAGCCGATGGAGGTGGAGAAGGCGGCGTTGGCGTCGGAGGCGAAGACCTGGGAAAGCCGGGTTAGTTCATCAACGCTTGTGACGGTGGCTGGGATATCGCGCGATGAAAGGTGAGAGAAGACACGAATGCAACGTCGCGGGTGAGGCGATTTGAGCGTATCGTGGTATCATGTTGAGACTCTTTTCCCACCCGCTTGAGGAGGGGCAGAGTGGGGGTGGGGGGCGGGCGGCGTTTATCGGAGTCGGTGAAGGGGTGAACTCCACGGAAAGAGGGGGAGGGGTAAAACAACACAACGCAACAGCACAGCACAGCTAGAGCTAGCTGAAGAAAACAAGTCGAAAAAAAAAGTGCAACAGAAACAGCAAGACAGAAACGGGCAAAACTCACAATGAAGTCGTCCTTGATGTTGTTGGCCTTGCCCCAGCCGGACATGACAAAGGGGTCGTTGTAGGCGAGGAAGATGACCTGGTCGACGCCCTTGGCCTTGAGCTCGTCCTTGTGCTCAATGTAGCCGGGCAGGTGGGAGGCGGAGCAGGTGGGAGTGAAGGCACCGGGGATGGAGACGATGACGACCTTCTTGTCCTTGAACTCTGTTGGGAGACGGGAGGAATTAGCCACGAATGTCTTTCTTTTTTCGTGATGCTTCAATTGATAGAGAGACTTACCCTTGGCGGTGTCGTACTTGATGGGGATACCGCAGACCTTGAAGTCGGCAGTCTCCTCCTGGTGGGGGATGTACTGGAAGGCAACGCCCTCGGGGAACTGCTCGCCGACCTTGAGACCAGACATTTTGATGATTTGGTGTGGGTTGGTTGAGGAAATTGGTGAAGAAAGAAGTGCGTTGGAGATGTGAGAGTGGATTGGTAGTAGAGTGTTTGGTTGAAGAATGGAAGGAAAGGGAAAACAAGATCAGATAAAGGAAAGGAAGGTAGGGCGAATTAGTAGGTGGGCGGGATATCGAGGGATCGCCGAGTCAGGGTCCCAAGCGCAATTCTGCGAGCTTCCAGGAAAGTGGAGCTCGTGATGATTTGTATTTGAGATACGGATACTACGCTCCTTAGCCGCGGGGCGGCCACTCCTTCCTGAGACCACCGCCGACCATCTCAGGCACAGGCACGACAGGTAGTCTTTTTGTGACGAATACGGGCATACAAGTGGGCAAAAAAGTGCGGACCACGGGGACCTACCGTTGCACTAACAAGAGGCACTCGACGGTTTGATTTGTCTCGGAACTCTGGAGAGTTGTCTTTCTTGTTTGCCCGCTTTCGCGTTTGGAAGCCATGATGCAAAGTATCTTTTTTTCCCTTGCTCAAGGTACAAGGTAAGATACTAAGTAAGGTAGATAACAGCAGCATTCAAAGTGACAACAGACAGAATATCCGTATGGGGGAGGTACGAATAGATGACATGTACCTTGAACTCTGATAACACCAGCGAAATGCGCACCTTTTCGGCCCACAGAGTGACATGACGCAAGACCGGGAATTTATGCCGCGTCCGTTTGGGCTCCGATCCCCGGCCTCTCTCCCCCGGTGGGGGGAGGCGAACAAGGGCCCCTCTCGGCCGTCCGAGCATCCAGCCTGTCGGCCTTCTACCAACGTCCTTCGGAGTTACTGTGCCAAGACGTTGTGACTCTGGGGGCCTTTTTGTCATCATGGCGAGGTCCGGGTACTCCAGACCCGGGCGGCGTGACATTTCTGGATGTTGGTGGTCATTGGCGTGCAGATGGTACAAAATCGGCCAGCATGTGCTTGTCTGGAATTGCCTGACTTTGATCGTCTGAAGAACCAGCTGCCTGTACTCAGTAAAGTCAATCCTGCGGTACCTGGTTCACACAACGACAGACCGCAACTGCAGTCAGCGCGGCTCTGTGTGATGAGGCAGAAGTTGCGCCGGCGTCGGCCGTTGCTTGTTGCTGTAGCGCTCACTCCGCAAGCCATCCGAAGTTTGAAGGGTTTATCATGCACGAGCTAGATTGGAATTTCTCAGCTAAAGCTGAAAAGTTGTAAAACAAAATTTTTGCGCCTCATCTGACGTCGTTTCGTAAGAGCAGAACCCGCGGTGTTTGCCAAGGGCGCTGGTGACAGCTGACAAAGGCCGAACCCCCGGCAGCCCGTGTCTGTGATTGGTTGAATCGTCCGGTGCTTGTGTCTTCTTCCAGCATAATTGACATGTTCAAAACTGCTGTCTTTGCCATGGCGATAGCTCCATGACTTTAGGCATCATCACTTGGAAAGATCGCATTGCTTGAATCATGACCAGCCAAGACGAAGCCAGACCGCCGTTCCCGCCCTTCACCGAGGAAACCGCGAGGATCAAGGTGAAGGCGGCCCAGGATGGATGGAACTCCAAGTCCGTGCCCCTCAGCAACCGAAGCAGACGCCCACTGACATCGCCGCAGAAACCCCGCAAAAGTGAAGATGGCTTACACGCCCGACTCCATCTGGCGCAACAGAGACACTTTTCTCCAGGGTCGAGATGAGATTGAGCAATGGCTCACCAAGAAGTGGGAGAAGGAGAATGGCTACCGACTGCGCAAGGAGTTGTTCGCCTTCACCGAGAACAAGGTAAGCCCCCCGGAGTCACCGTTGACCCGGCAGCTGTGGCTGCGCTTATGAGAGATCACTGACCATTGGAACAAGATTGCCGTCCAATTCTGGTATGAGTGGCATGATGAGTCGGGACAATGGTGGCGGACGTATGGTCTCGAGGATTGGACCTTTGCTGAGAACGGGCTTATGCGCAAGAGACAGATGAGCGGGAACGATGTCAAAATTGAAGACACAGAGAGGTGGTTCCGGGATGGCGTTGATGTGAATACCGTTGATATCTCGGAGAGGCACTGGTAAAATCTGTCCTCTGTGCCAAGACATTGTCAGAACTGCAAAGATCCGAATCCTTCCCATAGACTAGGTAGTAGGGCACGACTTCCAATGATTCGTAGTATGGCTCGTGTTCCTGGCGGCAGGGGTTTTGTCTCGAAGTAATGAGTCCAGAATCCTCTCGACTGACACCTGTGCGTCTGTTGGATAAATTGATCTAGTGTAAAATCACTGTCGAAGATGCGCCGCCATGTCTTGAGATTTGGGGAAATGTTATCAATCAGATGAGGAACGAGACAGGCACATATCTTGTCAAGACATTCCATAGAAGGCCAATGTTCGAAATACCAAAAACAGGCGTAAATATGACTAGCAAGCCGCCCACGAGGAATTCGCGAGTTCTCCACGAGGCGGGAAGTGTGAGTGACTGCCCCCTCTGATCCTGGGAGCCAAGCACCTACACACCTAGGTCAAGATCCTTAGGCCAGCACATGGGCGGCACGCTCCTGACTCTCATGGAACACATCTTGCCAGCGAAGATAGGAAGGCGAGTTGTGCCATGGTCCACCCACGCTAGAGAATTTTCTTGGTTTCGAGTAGAAAGACGTAGGGAAGACTTAGCGTCGTGTGGTCCAGGTCGCCAAGCGCATGACAGGAGCTTGACGCCACGATCCAAAGAGGCGGTTGTGGAGACCAGAGAGACGATGCGAGAGCTAGGGGAAGGGAGAGGCCCCTGCGCGAGGACGAGATGATGGCAATTAGCAAAGCATCAACCTCGGCCGACGGTCCGCGTTGTTATATGAGATTGCCCGAATCTGTCATCGTTCCAATCAAGGCTTTTGAGGACAGGTACCAAGAAATGTAGCTTTGCCAGAAGCCAAACAAGAAGAGCAGAGACGACGGGCTGTGACGAAAACCATCAGCTTGCATATGATCACGCCGCGTTCAGAGCAGTCACAGATACACACAATGGTCATTTTGCGGCACGATAGGCGAGCCAATACCTTGTACAGGACGCAGCTGGAAACATGCCCGGCGATCTGTTCCTCTCGGGCCGGAAGCAGCGTCGCAATCGGGTAACGTGTGACGTTTGGCTCGGCACAGGGGTTCTGGCCACTCTTTGGGCCGTCCGTCCCGCTGGAGGGGGGTCGCTTCGAGATGACTGCAATGATTTGCACCAGGGGTATTTTCAGCTTTGTGACCTGAATGGAATGCTATCTTGTCCTCTGCATCGACAGCTGCTGCAGTGCGACAGTGCGAAGGTGAGGTTGGAGTAAGATGTGGTCTTTGCCAATGTGACAGGCGGCCGATTCGCAAAGTAGAGCTACTGAAAGCTGGCTCGATCGGATAGGTGGTTCATCGACGCTACACAGAAAAGGCGCTGCTCGGAAGACGGTTGGCACAAATCTGGGAGGGGGGATGGACGCACAAAGGCTGACCTCGGGGTGATGGTTAGGTACGGCGACCATGTCACCGTGGTCGGCGACACTAGCGAGACCGAATAAGTCGAGGTTCTACTAAGGCTTTTGGTGATTTGGTGCGACAGGCTGGATATGAGGTTTTCTCAGGCTGGCTGGACTTGTCTAACTTGTGGGTGACGGTGGGTGAAAGTGAGGAGCTAGGATAAGGTGGTGGTGGTTGAGTGGTGGTTTGATTGGCCGTTGGTGTAAGCAGGGATACAATTATCGATTAGCGAGAAGACATGATCAGGGCGCCCCTTCAAACTCTTCTTCACATTCTTCGCAGGGATGGTTTGAAGAGGCTAGTCGCCTCGTTACTGCTTCTAGCCTGACCGATCTGGTTCGCTGAGGAGAGCCTTGACACTATGACTAGATACCTGGCATGAGGACCAGGCAGGGGAGTATCAGCATGAGATGATAATGTGGCAAAAAGCAAATGCTGTTTGGGGCTGGTTGAAGGTGGCCGGCCTTGGTGGAGAGTATTCGTGTAAGTAATCTCGTCTGATCTTTGAGTTGTCTGTCGTTGCAGTCGTCTGATGAACTTTGGGAAGAAAAGGAATTCAGGCGGGCATATTACATAATCCGAACGCTCAAACTCTATTGTCCGGGTAAGGTTCCCTGCCTTGCAAATGGAAGTCGTTTCTTGAGAGTCCTGTGGCAGGTGCGAACAAGGTACGAATAGGTACAGAGAGGGGAGGAAACATCGTCAATCGATCTCGGGGAAGGAACGCGCACAGACCGTTGATTCAGGAGACCCTGCCAGTACTTTAGGTACCTTCCGGCCTACCTTACCTACCTCAGTACCTCAGTAGTACAGAGGAATAGGTACCTTCACCACCACCAACCCCTTGCCTCTTTTTTTTCTCCTCCCTTCCACCTGGGCAGCATTTTTGTCTTTCTTTTTCTCATCTTCTTCTTCTCTCTTCCCCCAGTCAGATGGGGATACCTACGTACGGATACTTCTCATCAAGCACGCCAGGCACGCCTCTCTCAGCAATCCCGCGCTTGTGTCGTAGCTCCACCGTCTGTTCACAGCCTGCCCTGCGCCGGATCGATATCTCCTGAACGCCGTTAGGCGACTGGGATACCTAGACCCAAAGTCAAACTCGACTTGGACCACGTTACGTTACCTATTAGCACCTTTTGTGATCCGGCTTGACGGGCTTTGGGGATGGGGACTGATGGACTAGGTACAGTCTCCTCAGTCCGGAAGCCTTCGCCTCATCCGTTGATGAACTCAGCACCATGAAGAACAAAGGGAGTCCTGCCTCGGCCTCTCGGACCCGGAGCTCTTCTCCGTCCATCACTAGACGACGATGGCAAGTCTGAATTCTGGAGGCTTGATGTGGGAGGCGTCGCCTGCTCTCGTCATGGTCCACCTTTTTACGGCCGCCTTTTACGCCTCCGTGCCCCGGGCCCGGTCCCCTGGAGCTTTTAGAGAAACGAGTTCTAAGGATTCGCCCATGTCTCGCTTGACCTCGAACCAACTTCGGATGCTGGCTGTTGTCATGTCAGGTTGTTGCTGCAACAACTTGAGGCGAAATCAGCACTCGACGAACATTTGACGGCTTTCACCAAAGACTTCACTAATCATTGTCACACCGGTCTGAGAACATTCCAGGCCTTTGGGTCTCTTCTCCATGCTCTCCTCTTGCCGATCTCCTGCAATCTCCCATGCAGCAGGTATCCGTACCTTCTACCAGCCAACTCTGCGCTCTACCTACAGGGTCGATTTTCCCCAAGCAGGGAAGACAAGCCCAGCTGTGAACTGTCTCAGCCGAACAGACGCTCCTTACTCGTTCAGGAAAGCCTCGATGCTAGTGCCGGGCCACTCCACCAATCGCCACGATGCTGCAAGAGATCAACAGTGATTTCGCTGTTTCGGGAGCTTCGTCACTTATGGCTTCGAAGCAGGTCTGCAATGGGAGAATGGGCGTTCTTGAGGCGCCCGGTCACTTGGTCACGTCGTTGCACTGCTTTTGGCTCACTCAGTCCTCGTTTGTCTTGTCATCATAGCATAGCAGAGATGTTTGGGCCTTCGCATCGCAAACGCAAACGCAAACGCAAAGCGCTCTGATTCTTCGTATTGTCCAAAACAATGGCCACAACAACGCCAGGCGTGCCAGGTAAGCAAGGGCTCGCTGCGTAAACTTTGAAAACCAACGATGCCGTTGCTAGCGCCATTCTTGCTTCTTCTCCTTCATACCCACATGCATCCACGGCCAGGGCCATGTCTCTCAATGTTCTACTATCTCATGCTGCATACAGAAATTCAGAAATAAAGATACATGCCTACTCCGTACTGCACGGTACATCGCCTCCACCCTCACGCGGGTGCGCTATTCCTTCTGCGTCGGCCTCCATGCCTGCCAAGCGTGCCCTCGATATCAGCATCACCAAGCAAGTCCGAGAAGAAAGCACACCCCTACACACCATGTCGTTCCCACCCATCCGCATTCCGCCAGGAAACAACAAACGTCTGGACGCCTCACCCATCCCAAGTCCCAGTGTCCCACAGGGACCCCGGCTACAGGTCGATTTCGCGCTTTCTGGATTGGCCCAGCTTCAGCCCTCTCCGTCAACGGAAGCCAGTCATGGCCAAATAAAGTAGTCTTTCCGTCGAAATGTGTGTGGGGCTGGCCATCGTCCTGACCCTCCCCAGCAGCCCTCGACTCTCCTCAACTCTCGAGATATCTGGGCACGGGTTCACAGGTACGCCTACGCCTACACCTGCTTTTCTTCTCTCACTGCTATATCAGTCGTCTTGTGCCCTCAACCGTTTCCCCCGTTCCTTCACCTCCCATCTTAGTTGTGTTCTTCGCTACTCCCAACCCCTTCCACCCCTCCCGCAAGGCGAGCACTATTCTTCATTGTGCAGTAGCTTGTAGTTCGTTCCAACCCTACCTTAAGCCCAACACTACTCTCTTTCCCCCAACTTTGTCCGGTCTTACTCGTGGAACGTCATTCCTGGACCTGGATACTACAAGTTAAAGGCGGTCTCTTTCGATCAAAGGTTTCTGGACATTCACTCACACTCACTGTCCTACACCCTAGAACCTAAGACCACCTATTTCATTCGCTTCTCCACCTACTACCAACCAGACTGCGACATTTCGTGTCACTTCTACCAAATATCCAACTATGGGTCTTCTACCTCTCACCTACCGCCGACCCGTATACGTCAGCAACGCCAGCTCAGCTCGCGGGAGCACTTCAGATGTATCTGACAGTGGCGATGAAAAGCAGAGCAACACCTCCTCATCCTTGCGCTCCGGCAATTCTGGCAAACTGCAGGGCATCCCGGAGTCGCTCACTTTTGACAAGATTATCAACGGTGGCACATGTCCTGTAGGTTGCCTCTCATGACTTTGATACTGTCCAAAGTATTGACTTGATAGCCTTGTACCGTGCGTGACTTCATGAACTACCTGATATATATTGAGCATGCGGCGGAAAACCTTCAATTCTTCCTCTGGCACCGGGACTTCCAGAAGCGTTTTGGGGAAGCAAAGACGTCTGACATGTCTCTCGCTCCCGAGTGGACCGAAACCATGGAGACTGATCTGCTTCAACGCATGAACAAGGAAAAGTCACAGAGGATGCGCAAGAAGCCCGGCCAAGAGATATTCAAAGGAACCGATTTCGAGAAGAAGGGTGCCACGAGCGGCATCGTGCAAGATTCCAACAACCCTTTCCACACCCCTCCACGCACCCCAAACGACTACGAAGGCTCAGTCTACACGGGGTCTCAAGGCGTGTCGAATGCCGATTCGTACCGCTCTCAGGCTAGTGATGCATTCGCGGCCGTGGGTGCCAAGCAGCCTTGTAAGTTGTCAGACTCGAGGGCTTCAAGGTATTTGCTGACTGAATCTAGTCACCATACAACCATTCCGTGAAGAGATTGATCGTGTTATCGCCACGTACATTATGGAGGGTGCGCCGCGACAGCTCAACCTCTCGGCCAAGGAACGTGACGCCACTCTTCACGCCCTTGCGTACACTACCCATCCTACGGCCTGCCGCTTGGCCATCAAAGTAATTGAGAACTCTCTCCGCCAGCAGGCTCACCCCAACTTCATTCGTTGGTCCATCTGCAACGGTAACCCCGCTCGCGTCTTCTTCGCCCGGGCTCTCGGCGTTGGTCTCATTGCTATCGCCTTTATCGTCGCCATCTTGATTACTCTCAGCCGTGCGGGCCGCGGATGGCGAGCACTGGCTGCCATTGGATGGGTTTTGGGCATTTCCACCTTGGTCGCAGCCTACAAGGGCATGTGTGTTGTCCTCCACGGTATGCACCATCGCCATGTTCGTCCCTGGGAGCTCTTCGTGGACGAGGAGAATGACGACCGCAAGACTTCCTTCGACACGTTTGGATCTAACAACAGCTACGAGTCGGAGCCTTGGGTCATCAAGTATGAGAAGCGCAACATTGTCCGCAAGATCTTTGACCGCGAGGTGTGGATTGAGGAGCCTGCTCTACGCACCATCCAGGACACCATCTTCCTTCAGGCAATGCTCTGTGCCGTTCTCGTTGGCGGTGTCCTCACCGCCATCTTTGTTGCCATCCCAAAGCACGGGTACTTTTGAGTGTGTCTTTGTCTGATACAGACAGCTGGGATAGCTTGTATCGCAAAGCTTCTGTTTGTTGGTGGCCTTAATAGGTGTAATTGAGTATGTGAAGGATGCTTGGAACGGACGATGAGAACCAAAATACCATTTTGCTTGGGCGCGGCGTATACGGTGGAGGGATCATGTTTTGTCGTATGGCTTTGTATATCAAGACATGGAAATTTATATACCAGATTCAGCTCCAATGACGCGATGTGAAAAAAGTTTGCCCCTCACGTGTATACGTCAGCAGGGCAAGTCTTTCAGCCGGGTACAAAGCTCAATTATCTGGTATTGAGTTGCGTGCCATCGAAAGTTCATAGGATACAGATGACAGGGCGATTTCTACTACCTTGATCTAGACGAGTCACTCCATGTTGTGGTGTTCACTTGAGCTCACTTGCATTTGTTCAACTTGTGCCATCGACTGAGGGGGTTTCATTACCTCGCCTGCAACAAGCCTGAATCAATGACCAGAAGGCTCTCCTCTTGTGATCATGTTTCTTCTCAAGATCAAGAACGCCAACCGCAAGCGAAGCAGTCATTGCGACACTACAAAGTTACGTAGACTCGAGGCAGGAGAGCCTTTGATGATAGGCCTCGGAAGAAGGGAGACTCCGGACGGAAAAATAGAGGGAAGGGGGGGGAAGATACCCTGATCGTGCATGAACACAACCCATCTAATCCCATCTCAACTCAAAGTATGCCTCCACCGTCCGAGGATGCCTGGTGGCGGGGAAGTTGAGCCACTAAAAGTTTAAATTCTACCTATACAACATGAAACTGAGACGTTTACCCTCCCCCCCTCGGCGGTGTAAACCCGGCTGATGCAGGGCAGCCCGAGACGAGAGACTCATTCTAGAAACGGGCAATGCCGTGAATGGCGGGTCTCCCTCCCCCAGGCGACCTTCGGACTTTGCCAGAGAGCTGAGGCACGTGGTCATCCGCCGGTGGTTTCTAGGGAATCCTCCCATCTTCGAGATCTACCTCCCATCTTCGAGACTACGGATACAGAATCGGAACAATGTTCTAGTGTCCCCGTCAGACATGGGCACAGACGGAAAAGTCTGTGGATATGGTCTTTTTCTGAATCCATCGTTGGCGTTCCTCGTTCGGTGGGGGGTGAGCAGACCCCTGTCGCGCGGAACTCTCACCGAACCAGTAAGACGCGCCGTTTGTGAGTAGCGACTACCTGATGCGGCAATGGCCACGGGGAGAGCCTGAGAGAACGCCAACCTCATTGATCGACAGCATCTACGTTCATCCCGCGTCTCTTTGTTAAACCGACGAGAATGGGTGCGATGTAGTATCCAGAACATCCATCATTTTTTTTGTGATCTTCGCCAAGGGCGTAGTGCGGTCGAGGTATCCGTGGGAAGATCTCGAACAGGTCCATCTCCCCCGTACACGCGAAATCCGGATTCGCAGACGATGGTATATGCATGCCTACGACAGCGTTGTCCGATCAGAACGATGGACCAAGAAGACACAGGCAAGTGAGAGCTGGAGGCTGACGAAGCGTACACGTTTTGACATTCAAAGTCTAAATGCCAAAACATCAGACCAGTCAGTCACAAAAGAAACTCCGTCGGAAAAAGGCAACACAACTATCAGACGACTCAATGATGCTAAAATAAGAGAATTACCATCCCAGCCCCTGCTGTTTTCTTCATTACAAGTTTTTCCTCCTCTCTTTGGGCGTGCGTGCAAGGCGTCTGGTTTCCCATGCGTCAGGAACGAGGCCTACCACGCGGCATCTTGACTCGAACCCTGATCTTCTAGGATGCCTTGAAACGAGACCTACGCGCGCGCCAAGTCATGTCAATCAGCTCACTTCACCCAAATTTTGGGACAAGCCTCGCCTGCCTCACGAAACGAGCAGAATACCCAGATACCAAGACGCCCGGAGACTTTTCAAAGTCCCTCTCCAAGGTACCCTTCAGAAGGTGGTAATATTGACTCGTGACACTCGCGATGCCTTCCGAACAGGTCGGACTTTCCATCATGCGCGGTTCATCTCAAACAAAGGGGTCAATGATGATCTACCGACTCGTTGTTGAATACGTCCCATCCAAAGCATATAGACAACCCCAGTACTCTGGATCTCCCTCTCAGACGGTAAGCCAGCACGACATCAGACCAGACCAGACGGGCCCCAAACGAGCGGGACCGGTTCACCCAGCACTCTGGATTCGGTTCTCGCCTAAGGATCGTCAAACGTTCTCACCCGTCTGGGGTTGGGTGCGTGGGTGCCTCCCATGAGACAATGCGAGTCGATCGCAAACCACGCGTGGGTGGTGGATCGAGGCAGAGTGATATACAAGTCGCCGTGAACCCCTCGAATTTCATCCTCCCAGCTATCAACATTCAGTATCATCCTTTACACAATATAATCAGACTTGTAATCACTTTTTATTCATCAATCCTAACACAGCTTACCAAGCCCACAAACCCATAAACAAAACAACACCTCCCACAGCCAAGATGCGCGCCTCATCAGTCCTCGTGGCCCTCTTCGCCACCCTCGCCGTCGCCGTCCCAAGCAACCTCGACTCCGTCAACCTCCCCTCCCTCCTCGAGACCCGCCAATGCGCAAAGGCGGGAACGTGTTCCAAGGGCGGCGACAAGGGCGAGAGCTGCTCGGCGCTAAAGTGCTGCAGCAATTCCAAGTCTGGTCGTGGCGGACAGGTACTGTTTCTCAACCCTCTACCACTCTTTGAGCGTCCTGTTTACCGCCTCTTGTCTGTCGTGATATTTTTGAAGTAGAAGTCGTACTCTAATACCCTCGTTACTTATTAGGTCTGCTGCTGCAACTGAGGACTAAGGATACCACACATCAGGAGATTTGAGAAGAAAAGCATATGGAACACGTAGTTGGGCTTGTAGTTTCAAAAATCAAGTTTATTTCGATGGAATCTCCTATTTTATCGTATCTATTGACTGTTTGATTGGTCTATCAAGGACAAAATCCCAGACGATCAAGACATCTCTCTCATGGACATT